AACGAGGCAGGCCCGCAGGATTCTAGCGACAGACACGGCCAGCAGCGCGTTTTCGGAGTCGATCCTTTTCCTGTGTGTCAATTTCAAGCGCCTTCGAGCACTCCAGCGAAGACCCACGTACAGCACGTGCAAACCACATCTCCGGTGGCCGATCGACTATGATTTCTTCATTCTGGCAACATTCGACACCTACCCGCACCCAATCAAAGCTTGATTTGAGTTACCCACCCCCTTCGGCATTGATTCAACGTTGACCCACTCTTTTCGGACCCAAATCGGCATTACCCATCGCTTTTAGACATCGGGACAGAAAGCTTAAGGCCTTTTGAACTCAGATTTGGGAGCCCGAACCCCCTCGACGTCGACCCACTCCTAACCCAAGAGGTTTTAGTGTGAGTTAGTAGGTAACAACTCACTTATATTGGATTTTGATTTAATTAAAGTGGTTTTAGTTAGTTTCTAACTTAAGTTTGGTTGCCTATCGTTTAGGAAATCCTTCGGCGAGCTTAGTAACGTGTCAGGGCACTTGGGTAAGTAGTTCTTACTTGGGGGATGTTTGTTGTATGAATATGTATAAATTGTTTGGTGCTTTCGGCGTGTTTATTATTTATTAATATGTAAGTTGATTGTGTTTTTGTGAATATTGGCTAATGATTATAAGTAGTTTGAATGAAATCATGTTGGTTCTGGTTGTTTATAATTGATTTGCTTTTCGTTGTTGGATTTGATGCTTACTGGTATTTCTGAAAGCATTATAGATTATGAATGATTTTATCGTTGTATGGTTGTGTTCATAAAAGCATACTGAAATAATGTGGGAGAAATCTGTTGTGTTGCGCATGCATGGGGACCTGTCATTTCATCATTTCATTTTTTTTAGCTTACTGTTTTTGGTTCCCAAAGCATGCTGGTTTTATTGTGAGTTGAGTGCTGCATGGGTCATGGCCTAGAAAGTATGTAGTAGGACTCTGGTGGGAGTTTGGTCCTTGATGAAGTGAATGAGTTAGGTTGTGTTCTGGTTACTATGAAATTTTTAGAGTGTTGGATGCGTATATGGATATATGTTGGTTACGTCTTTTTTGTAAATTATATCGTGTGTAAAGCATGCTGAGTGTTGAGAGAAGGGTGTCCTCGTGATGTTGGATGGCCATGTCTGGATGATAGTGACATAGGTGTTGTGCATAACGTATGTTCCATTGTTGTGAGATAATTTCTGCATGGGTCATGGCCTAGAAAGTATGTAGTAGGACTCTGGTGA